GAGAGGGAGGGAGGGATAAAGAGGGAGGGAAGGAGGAAGAGGGAGAGAGGGAGGGAGGGATAAAGAGGGAGGGAGAGAGAGAGAAAGCCTTTAGACTTGCAAGATTCTGTTACTATCATCTTAAAGGAGAATTGGCCTGCATCCCTTTGGTTTCCCAGTCTAGTCTACCTTGCAGGGCTGGCAGTATTACAAATTTTGGAGGCTGCTGCCTGAGTGCCTCCCCACCTTTCATGATTTATTGTGGCTCTAAAAGAAGGAAATCCTTTACTTTCTGAAAACATTTATGTTGAACAGGTGGCATTTTAGTGAGCCAGGCAGCTCTTAATTGAAAGCCTGAAAGCCCTAAGATTAAACCAACCCTCAAAGGAAACCCCCATGCAGCGGGAAAGCAATTGGGGCGCCCTAATGGTAGGCCAAACCTCCACGAGGGCAGGAAGCGGGTGGGGTTTCTCCCCAAAGCCAGCAGCAGCCACAGAGGACCTTTGGGCCAAACCAGCATGTTCTCCAAGAAGAAGAGACCCAGAGGAGCTGCTGGTCTTGGGAGTCTTGCCCAGATGGCAGAGGAACCAGGAGAAGATTGCTGGGCCAAAGGGGCAAAGACACCCGGGGTTGTCAGTCAGAGGGACTGTTTTGCTTGTTTGTGTATAAGGTGCATTAACTGCCCAAATCCCAAAGGACTCTGGGGCACGTACAAGGTATCCATCATATGCCCCTCCTCAAAAGCACCCAGGCCACTGGTGGTCAACTCCAGGAGCCCCTCCCCAACCTCAGCCCAGGCAGCAGAGGCCAAGTGGGCGCTGGGACCCGGAAGCCAGGGAGGGGGCTGACAGGAGCCACTCCAGCCCCTCTGAGGATCAATCTCTGCCCAGAGCCGGTTCCCCCCTGCCTGCCCCCCTGCCAAGGCCTGTCCTACTCATGAAACCTGAACAGTCAAATGGCAGCGGCTGGCCTGCCCTTGTTTGCCCTCGGATGCTAAACAATGGAGCCCAAACACTGCCGTTTCCTTTCCTGGCCAGATCCTCCAGTATCAACACAACGTTTTCGGCTGCCACCCAAGCTTCGCCCAGGTTATGTCCCTCCCTCCAATCGCTCCCACCTCACTCTTGCATCCAGAGCCAAAATCTCCCATTGACCTTAAAAGTTATTTTGTGACACTAACATTGAAAAAAAAGAGCAGCAAAAATGATACGATTGAGATGCATCTTGCAAGTCAACGAGCTCGCCTGAAGGATTGTTTTGGCTGCTGCGTCTTTGGGACTTGGCTGCTTTTAGTCTCTGGACGACCTTTTCTCCTCTGCGTGGATGGCCATCGCTCCAAAGGAGCGCTCTTCCTGCACTCCATGTTTTCAGGCTGTTTGGGGTTTTTGACTGGAGCGGCCTAAAAGCACCTGAAAGAAATAGCTACATAAAGCTGCCTTCCCTGCCCCCCCCCCCCCAACCTGGCCTGGCCATCTCCTTTGTACTCTGGAAATGCAGGTGGAGTCACAGCTCCACTCCAAGGTTCGTCCTTGGAAATCTTATTTCTGGAGGAACCGGAAGCTTTTGCCCTTCTCTTGCGTGGGGCACCATCAGGAGAAGCATAAGCTGGCCAAGCTGACTCTGGGGTCCTTTGACCTCAGGAACAAGGCAGCCCTCTGATCTACACTGCAAGTGACACAACAAACAGTCCATTGGTCGCCCAGCATTTTCAAGACTTTATCCACCCACAGGTCTTACAATGACATCTCAAAACAAGGAGAGAGCGGTATCAGCAATTCTGTGACGCTTCGTGGCAGAGCAATCATTTCGGAAAAACAAG